GCCCCAGGGGACCCCGCATGCTCCGGGGGAGACGACAGAGAGGTAGTAGAAGGCTCCTTGGTGCCAAGCACAGCCCGGGGGCGGGGAAGCGGGCTGGCGGGTAGGGAGAAGCCTTCCTCTCTTCACTCGGTGCTTCATTCCTGCGTCACTCAGGAATTTGGGGATCAGGCCATGCAGAGATGAGGGAGAATGTTCTAGACAGAGGACAGTCAGTGTGGAGGCCCTGGCGCAGCAGCCAAGAGCAAAAGGCAGCAGGAAGCCACGTGGCCGGGGCAGAGCGGACAGCCCAGCGCCCAGCGTGAGGCCAGAGGACACAGGCGCTCTGCCGTGAGCGTGGCTGCGTGGGCTTCCCGGGGGGCTCCGGCCGCCGGCGCCGGCGCGGGGCTGGGGCAGCTGTGCCCAGGGGCAGGAGGTGGACGGGCTGGGCGGCAGGTGGGCAGAGTGGGGAGACACCGCCTGTGGGGCGGAGCGCCTGGGAACCCCACAGAGCTCGGGTTGGGGTGCTGCATCCGCGTGTCTCGAGGACACCGAGAACACACGGCTCGACCTAGAGGACGCAAACTTGGCCGAGCAAGGGACGGAGCAGCGTGCTGGTGGGAGAAGCTTCCGCGCCGGCAGTGTGGGTCGAGGGCGGAAGCCTGGCTGGGGAGAAGACTGGCGGGCAAGCCGCCCTGCGGTCCCACGGGCCGAAACCCAAGCAGGTCCAGCCCTGTCCCCCTCCCCTGACCTCGCCACGCCCCCGCTTGGGGCAGCAGCTTCACTAACGGGCTTTACAGCCCAGGGACCATCGTTCTGATGCGACAAGGACAGTGATAAAAGAACGTTTGAAAAAAGAACCCAGAATACTTACCTGGCAGGGGAGATACCATGATCACGAAGGTGGTTTTCCCAGGGCGAGGCTCACCCATTGCACTCCGGATGTGCTGACCCCTGCGATTTCCCCAAATGTGGGAAACTCGACTGCATAATTTGTGGTAGTGGGGGACTGCGTTCGCGCTCTCCCCTGGAAAAAAAAGAAAGAAAGAAAGAAAAAAGAACCCAGAGCAGCAGGGCATCGGGACCCCCGGTGCAGGGTGAGGTGCTGGGGAGCCCCCCACCCTGGCCACTCACCTGCCACGTGACCCCACACCTCAGCTCCCCAGCCCATAACAGGGTTGGACCCATGCCAGGCTGCCAGAGAAATGGCGGGAAGCGAGCAGCGCCGACACCCGGCCAGGGCACCTCCTCCCCGCCAGGGCGCCTCCTCCCCGCCTCCCCGGGCGGGTCCACCCCACAGCCAGCTCCATGGCCCTCCGCCCGCAGGCCCCTGCCCTTTGCCCCAGGCCGACGATGACGCCAGCAGGAAGGGCGTCTCCAGGCCACCCCTAGACGGGGGCATATGCAGCTACAGGGCTGCAAGGTTGGAAACTGGACCAGAGGCCCCAAAGCACACCCCACAGACAGCGGGGTGCCCTGTCCTGTCCTGCTCCAGGACGAGCCCTCAAGGGCCCTGGGAGTGACCAAGCGAGTGCAGGGAGGGCGCAGCTCCGGCCCCGGCCCCAGACTCCGCCTCGCTCACAGCCTCCCTGGAGACAGCCGATCTGCACCTGCCCGACACTGGCCTCCATTTGCGACACTCCCCTGCGGCGGAGGTCACCCTAGCTTCCAAGTGAGCCCCACACCTCTGCCTGGTGCTGCCTCCAGGGCACAGGGCCAGGAGGGTGGAGCCCACCCCAGGCAGGTCAGACCCGCCTGGAAGCTGGGGCCCTTCAGAGCAGTTGGCAAAGCGGCCTGCCCGGGGCACCTGACCCCAGGGCGTGACCCGCAGCACAAGGGCAATGAAGGGGGGGGGGGCTCCCAGTGGGAGGCTCAGCCAGGGCCAAGACCACCAGGTCCCTGCAGTCTGGCTGCCCGGCCAGTGCTGGCTCCGAGAACGGACGTATCTGGCAGAGCCCCGTCCGCTCACCTCATCCCTGGAGTTCAGGGGCTCAGAGCCCCGTCTCCTAGAGGAGGGTTGGGCGAGCCAGGCTAGCGGGTGGCCCCGGGACAGGGCTGGGGCCTGCTGGCCAGGCCCGAGAGCCTCGCGAGAGCCACGCTTGGGGGCCGGGGCTCCTTGTCCGGCAACATGGACGCCCGAGGCCCGGGCGGCGCCCACACTCCCATTGTGAAGAGGGGGGCTGGCCTCTCAACGGCTGTCTCCCCCCTGGGGTCTCCTCCCTCCCTCCCTCCCCCATCCTTGCCCCAACACCTGCAGGAGCCCCCCCACCCCTTGTTGGTCATGGTCTTGATCGGGGGGCACGCTCATTTACTCAACATACATATCTAAGGTGGCCCTGGGGTGTGTCGCTCTTGGGGTTCACAGCAGTAAAGGCAGGAGGTGAGTGTGGCCTCCCCTGCGAGTTCTGTGGGGTGTCTGCTGAGCAGGGAGGGGAGGTGGGAGGAAGCCCCTCAACTAAAAAACGGGGTCAACCCCATTCGTAGCAACTCCCCACGGGGATGTGGGGGTGGGGGTCCTGCTCCCAGGCCCCCCCACTGCTGCGGCTTCACGGGGCCTCAGGGCTCCCCAAGGCGCACAACAGGGCGCTCGCTCGGGCTGGGGTTAACTTTATGACTCATGGGGCTCGTTATAAACGTGCAGCTACAGCCCTTTCCAACTCCAGAACCGAGAGGTTTTCTGGTTACGGGCAAAGGAAACCGCAGACCGCATAGAGCACCGCAGCCGGCGACGGGGAGCGGCCCCCCACGCCCTCCTGGCCGCGCTCTCCCTCTCTCCCTTCCAGATAACGCGGACCCGCTTACAG